GTGTTGTAATTTTAGCTTCCTTTCCTGCTTGGGGTGATGTATTTGGACAGGAGTCATTGCTTGTGTCTGGTAGGACATAGTTTTCGCTTGCTCGTGTGTACTGGATTATCATATGTAAAACCCGTCTGATGTACTGACCTTCGTTCCTGGCTTTCAGTAACATCTAAGGTGCGTCCAGACCAGACTTTAACTTTGACTATCAAAGGAGCGTCATGTGTTTTTGCATTGAAGTGAACTCGGTGAAGCGCGTTCATGGTCGTACGCCCATAGTGCCTTCATGCGCGTCGTACTTGACTGGCGCGGTGTCAAACAGCTTTCAATAACACAGCTGTCGCGTTATTTAAGATCTGAAGCTTTTTGGAAATCTGACGCGTATTGTGTTACCGCTATCGCGAGTTATTTCAGATCTTTTGTTGGTCTGCATAATAAGAATAGGTCCCTTGATCGCTCTGACAGTTGTGAAAAGGATGAGCTTGTATTAGTGGCTGATGTTCGTCTCGGGGTTCAACGCTTATATTAGGATGACGTATGGTTGCGAGGCAGCGGCATGCAGGTCAAGCGTGGTTGCTATGTCCCATGAATAAGAGAGTCTATTCGGTGGCTGCCTAGACTGTTTATAGATTTATTTATTGCTTATCATTTTTATGACAAATAGTGATGGCGAATATTATCTTGTGGGTTTGGTATGTAGTTGGGAGTTACGTGTTATTACTAAGTTGAAGGTAAGCAAATAGAACCGTCAACGTATGCTTGGTGACATTGTAAATGGTTTAACATTATGGTTTCGACAATTGATGACGAGACAATTTTGCTGTTCGACTGGATGAGTCTGGCTCGAGAGGCGTCTTTATTGAGGTGAAGCGAGCTTTGCTGAACGCGGTCCTGCAGGGGAGCGATGGGTAGCAAGCTCTAGCAGGAGTAGAGAAAGACGCCCCACCCTGGCCGGCCGGGATCGGAGCGAAGACCCCTTGCTAGGCGTCTAGGCGTATAGTGGGAGAGCTGGCTGTGTCAAGCTCCCAGGCGGTTTGTTGGAAGGTGAGATAGGCTGAGAGTCCGTAGGCGGGTAAGAGCGCCGAGTCTCCAGGCTGGTGAGAGTCCTGAGCTCCAGGCGGGAGAGTGCGATGCCTCTGAGGATAGCGGAAGAGGCTGAGCTCTGCATTTTTATTGAGCGCTGGTTGGAGGCAAGGGCTGGTTAGTAAGACTGTCTGGTGGCACTGGGACGAGGCGTAGCTCTAGGGCGGAGAGAGTTTGCTGATGTCGCAGTGGCGGAGATAATCTGAAAACGAAACTCATCCGTAACACAGCGTCTGGAATGGTAGATTTGGTTTTGGTATGGACACTTCGCAAACACTGCTCCAGCCTTTTCAAGTCCATGTGCAGTGAGCTACGACTAGAACTGACGTTTAGTTTGATATCCCTACATGGAACAGATCGAAGTTGTCTTGATGGGCTTTACATTAACTAAATATAGGCTCGCTGCCTCTCTTGAAAATTCCCTTAGCCCTTGTTCATGAGCTTACCGGCAACAAGAGATAGTGACTCCAACCTTGGGCGGTCAAAAGCCTTCAGCCAACCATACAATGACTCAAATCCAAACACTAAAATAAAACTGGTCCCTGATCTAACGTGAATGCTCCAATCTCAAATGAATGTGTAGGTGGAGGTATGTTTGTTGAATCGTTTTGACAGTAAGCGCGCCACAAAATACTTTACTCCCACCCTCCCTATTACTATAATACCCTCCACCCCCCCCCCATACTACCCCTCATCCTAACCCTATACCCCCCACCATATAATCACATACATAATAAATAATCCCCCTATACACCCATAATAACAACATACCCTACCCTCCATATACACACCCCTTACCTATAAACCCACCCCCCATAAAAGCACCATCAACACAACACTAACATCACACTCCTCCAAACCCACCCCCCCCACCCCAACACTCAACCCCCCCTAAACAAATAACACAATCAAATCCTCCACAACCAAACCCAAAAACCCTCATATCACACCACCCACCCACCCCCACCCTACCCCACCCCCCCCCCACCCCCACCCCCACCCCCCCTCCACCCCACCCACCCCCACACCCCCACCCCCCCCCCCCCCCCCCACAACCAACCCCCCCCCCCCCCCCTCCCCCACCCCCCCCCCCCCCACCCCCCCCCCACCCCCCACCCCACCCCACCCCCCCCCCCAACCCCCCCACCCCCACCCCCCCCCCCCCCCCCCACACCCCCCCCCCCCCACCCCCCCCCCCCAACCACCCCCCACCCCACCCCACCACCCCCCCCCCCCCCCCCCCCCATCCCCCCCACCCCCCCCCCCCCCCACCCACAACCCCCCCCCCCCCAACCCCCACCCCCCCCACCCACCCCCCCCCCCCCCCCACACCCCCCCCCCCCCCACCCTCCCCCCCCCCCCCCCCCCCCCCCCCCCCCCCCCCCCATACCCCCCCCCCCACCCCCCCCCCCCCCCACCCCCCACCCCCCCCCCCCCCCCCCCCCCCCCCCCCCCCCCCACCACACCCCCCCCCACCCCTCACCACAACATCTCCCATAACCCAACCAAATCCCCCCTACTCCCCTTTCCCCCAAATACACTATACTACCTCCCTCTCCATTCCCCCCCCCCCACACCAACCCACTACCCTCACCAAAACCCCCTCCTACATCAACAACACACACACCCCCACTCTACCCCTCACCCACACCACTTCCCAAACCCCAACCACACCCACCAAACCCCTCATCCCCCACACCTAACATAAAAAAAAAAACTTACCACCCCCCTCCCCTTCCCCCCTCCAACATCATCTCTTCCTCCCCCCCTCACTCCACAAAAATACAAACCCTCACCCTACCCCTATTAATCCCAAACTACTACACTTACCTATCTCTTCCCCGGCATTATTTCCCTCTTTCCACTCCCATCTCCTCATCCTTTTCAATCATATAATCCCCCCATCTCTTAACCTAACACATCTACCCCCCATTACCTCCCACTTACATTTCTTAAATCACATCCTCAAACCCAATCCACACCCTATCCTCCCTCACCTCCATCCCCTCACCCCTCACCCTAATCACTTTAATACTCATTAAATTATAGATTCACAGATCCTTTATAACATATTTTAATTATATATATAGATCTGAAACCTATATAAATATTCTATTTTTTTATTTAATTTTTTACATCTCAACAATAATTTATTAACAATCTACACAGATATATATATAGCAATCCACCCACCCCTCCCCCCCCCTAAACATGTAACACATCTCATACTATATTTAGATATTCTCACACATCCTCTCTCTCACACATGAGATATATCCCACCCCCCCTATGTATAATACACTCATCACAATATGTGACATCATCACATCAAACCCGCCTCTCCACTATACGTTCGTGTGTGTGTGTTTCTCATATGCCACACCCTCCTCCCAAACAACTCACATACACGATGTGATTCCACGCTCTCTCTCTATATTTGGCCGACCTCCCTTATGGTTGTCCTACAAGACCCAAACCCCCCCTAACCCCCCCCAATCCCCCCATCCCCCCAGTATATGGTTAATATATTATTTTTCCCCCAGTAGATCCCCCCCCCCTTATGTGATTAGAGAGATAATTGGAGATTTTGTTGGTTCTGGTTTCTATGCTAACTCCATGAGAGAGATCCTCCAGAATGTGTGCCCCCCTCCCCTCCTGAGATAATATACTCCACTATAATTGTGAGTGACCAACAGGAAGCCCCCCCCCACCCCCCCCCCCCCGCCCTCCCCCCCCCCCCTCGGCCTAACAGATGTTAGCCGGGTAAGCTTGAGAATATAATAGAGAGTAGTGTGTATGTGATACAGATATAAGTTATAGATAGATTAGAGGCACATATGATACTCTCCAACTCCCCCTTATTAATGACACATAATTTATGAATGCATACTGTCTATTTATTAGTCATGCTAAATATTATTATTTTACATACATAAGAAAGAGCCAGGTGAGTCGCTTAAGTGAAGTGGGCTGAGAGCGCTGCTTTGGGCCTAAGTCGACCGGTGGTTCTTTTTCACTTTTCTGTTTAAATTGCTGATCAAAAGATTAAACATAGGCCAAACCATACATGTGATGAACAGCAGTGTTCAAACTAAATTGGTTTTTTGTGGTTTGAAAGTCATGTATCCTTGCTTTAATGGGTTCCAGAAAACTGTTCATAGTGCAGTTTATTTTGATCTTGACATAATATTTTTGTCACTTAACGCCCAGTCGCTGTACTACCAACTTCCAATCAGGATTCGTCATTTACTCTTTCTAACCAGGTGCCCGTTATCCGCCAGCGGCCTCCACTCTCGGGCTGCTGGTTTTTTTAGACTTCTAATGGGTACGAAGAGGATTGGGTCGTGGGGTGAGAGCAGGATGCTGGTTTCCATAGTAACGCTGCTCTCCCGTCTGCCCTCTCTTGCTGCCACTATGGAAGCGAAGTTTTCCGCTCCTGCCGAAAACAAAGCACTACGGTAAAAACCTGCCTCAGTCACTATATATACGCCCGTCACCAGTGCACCCCTATTGTGGTCACCTCTTCATTTTCCATCTTGAATTTGGTTTCATATCGATGTTTGGTGTTATGAATGCGCCTCATAAACTCACTACCCCAGTATTTCTGTTATGTGTTTTTGCTTGTCTTTTCTGTCACAAAATGCATTTCCATTTTTACATTCTTTTTTTCATTGGTGTGCAAATCCCTCCTATTCATATTGGCCGCACTTTTCCCAAGTTTGCGTTTACTTTTTGTGGAAACAATCAGCGCTTCTGTTGTCATGGATGTTCTTGTGAAGCAGGAACATAAAATTTTGATTCGTATTTAATTTTAATGTTTTAATTGCATCACCAATTCAACACTGCTCCTTCTCTGTGTGTCTTGAAAACAGCTTCAAAATCTGAAATACCCATTTGTATAAGAATCAAAATTATTTTTATATTCATTGTAAGTACCAGGAAGTCTCAAACTAGGATCTTGCTTTGGCTCAAGGTGCAAACAAGTTGTAAAAGTAAAAATAAATACAAATTCTTCTTAACATTTCTTAACATTACTACTATATACGATAATATATATTTTATGAGATATACAATACATTTCTTAGTTCTGAATGTTCATATTTTTACTTGTGTACTCAAACTGGATTGAAATTGTGACTATTTATAATTCACAAAAAGCTTAAAGTGGCGTTAATCCTTGGATGTGCCAATCTAAGGTACATTCTGCTCTATGATTGGGTAACCACAAACCAAACAAATTGTAAACATAATCTTGATCTTCTATGCAAACACTTTTTTATGATGACGTTCTAAATGTTCTTTTATTTATTATTACTTTTTATATCTGCATAAAGATTTTAGATTAAAACCGTATATACAGTAATAATTATCCGCCGGTGACATTGATTCTTACTATTTCACAGTTAAATACTTAATTATTTAACTACAAAATAGACTAGATTTCTCTATATTCTATATTTTTCAGAAATGACTTTGAACTTTCTTGCCGGCTCATTGCACTGGTTCAGAACAGGTGCTTATGACCCACTGTAGCTCTTAAAATGCTGCTTCTCTACATCAGGGGTTCCCAAAGTTTTTAGCCCGCGACCCCCATCATAAATGCGCTGCTCCCCCGCGACCCCCCACCTCAACAGTCCTTCCCGTCAATGAGCATGTACTTCCTTGATACGGAGTAACGCAGAGACTCGCGCCACTACTGAGCTGCACTGTCCAGCCCAAAAAAGGAGGCTTGCGTATTTTTACTCTTGTAGTGACACAGTGATGGGCTTGGTGGGCTCCCTTCTTAGCAGAGGTGGAGCGCATTTCTTGCGGCTCGCCCTCTCTGTTCTTGTATCGCGGTAAAGTGGCCCTAACCCTAACCCAGCGGTAAAGAGGTCCGCACATTAAAAGCGGGCGGCCGCTTTCTGCTGTTACTTTATGCGCTTCATCCCCGCGGCTTCTTTTTCCAAAGTTACTGTAAGTAACAGCATAAACCGGCCACCCGCTTTTAATGTGCGGACCTCTTTACCACTGACTCCGAAAAGCCGGGCCTCTTTACCGCGCTGTTCTACCCCTGCCATCTCTCCCTCCACTGCCCTCTCTCCCTCCGCTGCCCTCTCTCCCTCTCTTCGCACCATCAGCCTGACCCTTGACTGTTCTCCCCCTCCAGGTTTTTCTGTTGTGGATATTAACCACGTTTCATTTTAAAGCAGGTATTATGTGTTTGTAGCCTCCAAACACCTTTAGTTTTAGCAAACAGCAGCAGGACACGCTTTGTCGCTGCATGATGTGAGCTGCGTAACTTAATTTTGATTGACGCTGTCAATGACTGGGACAACGTAATTAACGTAATTAAAATATATTATTTTCTCCTAACACAATTTAACAAGTAACCCTTTTGAATCAAATCAAATGCAAAATAAATATTTAAGGGCTATTAATTTGCTCAATTTTTTTTTTTTTTTTTTTTTCTTTTTTTTTGTTGTTGTTTGGAAATCATCTTGCGACCCCCCCAGGGGTTCCCGCGACCCCCCGGGGGGTCGGGACCCCCACTTTGGGAACCACTGCTCTACATCACATGGTGCTTTGTGTCACAGTGCGGCCTCAGACCATTACCCTCATACGGGGGTCTGAGGTGAGGGCGGATGTGCAGTCTCCCGTCCCCTGGGGTCGCTCCTCTATGTGAATGTTAAGTGTGATTTATGACTGTGTGCGTTGTTTCAGATTCTGAGACTACGGAGGATGAGACGACCGAGCCCCAGCTGGAGACCAAAGAAGGCAGGCAGCAGGACAAGGCCGGGCGCAAGGGACAAACAGGTACCACATACATGACACGGGACTGCACGCAAGCAGATGTTTAGTTTAGTTAAGATCCCCATTTGTCACTGAGGTGCAGAGGCTGTTCTTCCTGGGGTCTCCTCGAAATCATGAAATGGCCTTATACATATTTATGAAATCAAATATTATAATGCACACATCCATCCTCTCTCACTCTCTCTCTCACACACACACACACACAGATACAACACAACATGAAAGCTCAATGGGAAATCAGAATCAAAATTCATTTTCTAAAGTTCTAAAGGTAAAAAATAGAATACACCATGCATAAAGATAGAAAATAAAATCCACGTAACATTTCTTAAAATTACTACTATACAAGTGCACACAAAATCAATTACCATTTAAAAAGTAATACAAAATGTGCCTAACAAAAACACATAGATAGTGAGGCTTTGTTTAATTTGACAGGATTATTGGGATTTCTCCTAGTTTTGTAGCATGTTGGCGCAGCAGTTAGCACTTGTACTTCACAACAAGAAGGTCACCTCCAAACAGATCCTGGATTGGAGTGTTGATTGTTCTTCCCGTGTCTACGTAGATCGCAATTTCGCCTACCCTCAAGAAACATGTAGAATAAGGCTGGGTGTCTCTCAGAGCTTGTCGATGCGATGTGTGTGTAGATACAGGAGACTTCTGATACGTTTGATAAAATATTTATTGTGGTTCAGTAATAACAAAAGACTGTTGGCCCCCTTCCTCCCTTAAAATTGGAGAAAAAATAAATTGATAATACTAAATAAATCCTTTCCAGTATGGTGACCCCACTTCCATATCTGTGTGCAGTGAGAGGAAAGTTGCCCATAACATAAGTGTAAAGTGCTTTGTGGGCGCTATATAAATAAATATCACTTACTAAAGGAAAATAACTGAACATTTCTGATCCAAATAGAATTGAGGAAGCATTCACCAGAAAACCAATTCAAATAATTCGTCCATTTGCATTTGTGCAAAATGCTTGTGAACTCCAGGCATGTCCATGGAGGTGTTCTGGAAATACTTTCTCGAACAGTGGCGTCCTAGGTATTTGGACATTTACCTATTCATTATTGATCTGCTGCAAGGATAGAAGTTCCCTCCACTACCACCATCTTGTTGTTTTGAATGTCAAATACTCAAAGTTGTCCAATGCGGTTTAGCTCTAACGTTAAATTACTAGACACTCATAAAGGTTCAGCACAGTTGGTCCTTATTTTGACCTGGTTTCTTGCTGGCTGACTGTTGAGGATTAAAACAAAAAAAAATATGGCTGTAACAAGTTAATCCATTCATCATAACTTATTTGTTATTTGTGACATTAGATTTTATACCTGCACACTTTTTTTTTCCAAACAACCCAAACCCAACCCAAGATGTTCTTCAGGGGCTTCACTTGAACTTCATTAAATGAATAAAAATCTCATTTTCATTGACTTTTCAGGATTCGATTTACTTCATTGTTCTATTGTATAGCCCTAAATCACATCAGTAGTTCTCTTGGAGGACTTTACAAAACCGTTGAATTCCAACACAGATCAGAGAATCAACATGCATTGATAAAAAACACATAGAGCTTATGGTCCTTAACGGGACCTAAAAGTTCCGCTAATCTTTCAGTCCCCATGCATGTCCCATGCGTTACTGAACACAAGCTATTTACAGTATTTGAATAGGGCGCCATCTTGGATCACTGGGGCTTGACTGCAACTCCACCTCCGCAAGTACTTTATTTGCTTGAAAGGATGCTATTTAAGCGTCCGATTGAAAGTGTAGCCTCCTCCTCTCTTGAAGGCATTGTTAAGAAGCTGCAAAATCCATGTCATTTCTGCAAACACTCTTTTTGATTTTTTCATTATTGACAGAATGTACAGTAGACGCCCTTGTAATCAGAATCAGAATCATTTGTATTGCCACGTGAGTAACAGGAGGTCACAGATTAGGAAATTGCTTTGGCTCAGTGCAACAGTCAAAAAGAGATCATAAAAATAAGAATAAAAAACACTTCTAAAGAATAAATTTAAATTTAATTTAAGTATGAAGTATGTTTAATATACTTCAGACTGTATATTTGTTCTGTTCTAGTTATCACGCAGCCTTGAATAAAATAAATGAGCATAGCGCTTTCATTACACCTTCCACGTTTCTATTCTGCTCTCACCTCCATCGGGGCGTTCGTCAACCCACTGACACCAAAACGTACAAAGTGTCTGCTCTGCTCGGAGAGGGTGTCAATAGCTGTGATCTATAAGGAGACGCGCCGCTGCCTGGTTAATGGAGACGGGAGGTTCACAGACTCTAGCTACATGCTCACAAATTCACATATCACTCGCGGGAAGTCTTTATACACTGACTTTTACAAAGAAATTGGATTTTAATCGATCCATGGCAATGTATGATACATCTTAAACAACTTGATAACCCCTGTGCCAAAAGATTGTACAAATGTTATTCTTACTAGCGTCATCTCGTGCACAGTAGCAACAGTGACCTTGACAGATTCTATCCTGGAATGGCAGATCATGCCTTTGTTCAAAACGGGACACTATTCCCTACGGGTGCTGTTGAAATTCTACACTGCCATCACAACGAAGTGACGGCAAGCACCAGGAAGTGTCTGTGTCTGTCTCAGCTTCAACAACTCATAAAAGCTGGGAGTATTTTTTTTTTTTGCTGTAATATGCTCGTTTACTATCTCTACTCTTACTTTTGCTTGATGTTACGCGCATACATCCCGCGGCTGTGTACACTGGCCGTGCGCGCAGGCTTGATGCTGTCCCTGTGTAGTCTATGGAGTGTGTTGAGGAGAGGGGCCAGAAGACTGATGTGGAGAAAAGAAAATCACATGTATGTGTTTGTCCTCATGTTCTCTGTGGGATGGTCGGCCAGACGAGAGACTTTATGAAAGAAACAAAAAATGATGCCCAGGATCACTGTGAAACCTGCTCCTCCTCCTAATGTTTACATACAAGTGCTGTGTGTGTGGGTGTGATTTAGAGCCAAGGACCTCTAGAAAAATCTTGAAAGACGCGTATCTGCATGCACAAAATTATAAATTTAGGAATCCATTCTAATATAGGTTAAAATGGAAAAAAGCGTGTATGCTGCACGTACAACGCTTACGTGCTGTAACGGCTCCTGTGTAAATAAGCAGTTACTCTCACGTTGTAGTAGCGTCTACACTAAGCCTGCACAAATACAGTAGGTTCTAGTAATATTTAATTAACTCCAAAAGGGTTTGATCTGGAAACTAGGTCGGTGTGTCAGTCCATGGTTAAGTACAAGAGGCCATGTTGCTCAGCTCACCAGGCACGTCCAGAGCAGAGGAGATAATAAACAGCCCGTACATCTTCCCATAATGACTCATCAGCATCAATACACCACCGCATTTTGGCACTTACTGCTTGCTGTTAGTGCTTCAGTTGGTAATTTTCTGAGAATTTAGTAGACTTCCCATACATAGTTCATTTTGTTTTGCTTTTGCGATGCAGGCATTAAATGTGGACCAACTTTTATCACTCACTCTTGATCATTGTTGAGAGAAATGTCTGCATGTGCTTATAATCAGTTTAAATATATACATGACGATTTGTTTGGAAGCTGCTTACAAATCTTCTGGAAATACTGTTGTGGAAATGTCCTTAAAGATCAATGGAAACAGAGTTGCATTTTGTGTGGTTTAATGAAAGTAAAAAGTACATGATAAGAACAAGCATTTGCAAATGGAGAAAGCTTCAGGGGTCCTCTCCTCGGACCCTGCATCAGTCTCTCTGCCCCACAATGGGATTCACACAAGCTTTATCAGGATGGTCCTCATTGGCCAATGGCCACATGAAAAACACATGTCACATCTCTGCACTGATTACTTCAAAATAGGTAACTCAAGGTATGAAGAGCAGAGAAACAAGGGGGTGGTAAGGGGGTCAAAAGGACATGGGCAGAGGACATAGAAACAGGACATACCAAGATCACTTCATCCATATGATAAGGGAAACACTCATACCAAAGGAGGTTGTCGATCACTGTCTAATAACTAAACTCACTAACAAACTGCATCTTAACTTACTCAAACATCGTCCCAAATACTTTCCTGCCATAAAACAAAGCCCTCTGAACCATTCATTAACATCACAATTCACCCACTATGCTTAAACCATGTTCATGTAATTTTTGCCATTACAATACCCAAGCCTCAGCGGGCTTCATTTTTCTTGAACCTTGGCGTGGGTGATGTCAAGCAGGGAATATTTTGAATGTGTATTGTTTATTTTTCTTGTCAATATTATCATTTTGATGAACAAAAACAAGGAATTGATTACTAAATTAGATGGCAGTTAATTCAATAATTGATTAGTTGTGATTAATCTATTAACTTAACAGCCCTAATCTATAGCTTACTCCAATTTCTATCTAGAAATATAGAGCTTTTATCCAAGCTCTCTTTGATTACAATCACTGCAAACTACTCCTGGGTTGGAAAGATGTGGAAAGTGCATATAAACTGATTACGGTGAATAATTTTACATGTTACAACCAACTTGTTTTAACTGGTTAAAAACAGAAAAATGGAATAAAAAAGTACTGAATGCTGGATTTTTCAGCACATTCTGATATTGCCCACTAACACATGTGATGTCTGTGGATCACAAAAAGCTGGTGTGGAGATCTCACTGCTGACTCAGACTGTAGTCTGATTGAATCCAATGCTGGGCTGCCGTTTGCGCGGTTCCCGTAAGTTGCTGACCGTTCCGTGTTTCAGCTGCCGATGCACTCCTGCTCCACGCTCATCACTCAGACGTCCATCCTTAACCTGATTTGCGGCGCGTGGATCTCTTTAAGTGGGGGGCGCTCCACTTTCTGCTTCATTTCCTGTTTAAAGAAATCAATATCTGCTTTATGTGGCTGTTACATCTGCGTCTTCTACAGCCGCGTCGGTGTCTTGTCTGCTCCAAGCGCCCTCTTCCATTCGAGACAATTTATGAGGCTCATTAAAATGCTATTTATTATATTAGTAGTACCAGGATTGGTGTGAATAAGGTTAGCTGTTATAGGTCATATTTGTATCGCTTTTAGAGCTCTATCAGGCGCCGGAGAGGACATGGTCTCTCCTTTTAGGGCTGGTATGATTTCCCCAATAAAACTCTTATCCTTCACTTGAGAAAAAACTGAAAAGAAAAACATGTTGTCAACACATTCTGTCTGAAATGTCAAACTAAATCTTAAAGAACCTGAAATAATGTGAATATACAAAAGGAAGACATCACTGAACCTTCACTGCACTTCACTGCACCCATTTCAGATATCGACTCCGACTTCAGCCTATGCTGTTATATCTTAAATACTTATCTAAAATATGATCTCAACATGTGGGGAAAAGAAACAATAGGCTTGTCTCTATGCCTTGGACTGTTTTCCTCTCCCTTCTCTCAATATGTGTGCGTATGTTTGCTTGCGTGTGTGTGTATGTATTTGTGTGTGCACGTATGTGTGTGTGCTTATATGTGTGCAGGTGAAGGTCGGATGATGGACTATAACCCAGACGCTCCAGATCGCAGAGCCACTCTTCCAGGCACTTATGACCCTGTAGTGGAGCGAGAACTACGTGCTCTGAGCTCCCGGCCCCCAGGGGCCCATCTGGACCCCTCTCATCTGTCCAGGCAAGGCCTCGGTGTGAGCGGGGCCCCCGCTGAAGGGGCCCCTGTGCGGCACCTGGGTGTGGAGCCACTGATTCGAGCCTCCCACGCTAACCTGGCCCGGCCTGTGCAGGGCTCAGAGGAAAGTGTGTCTGTAGGCAGCGACTACTACGGCAGCATGTTCAGCCTGTACCGCGGCAGGACCTTCTCCATGCCTTTATAGCAGCACGGCCGGTCTGTCGGACCCCTGGACTCAAACTCAAACTCTAAACTGTCTCTGTTGTAGACCCAATTGCAAAAAGCATCTTTAAGTTGTGCTTTTATTTCTCCCACACTTTCCTTTGACTCTGTGTGACCGTAGTGTGTTTTTTTTCCTAACTGTTAACCTTCTAAAGCCATCATGTTCTGAAGCCACTGCTAATAATGACTCAGCACTCTGGAAACTGTGAGCACACGTTGGACACTGCATGCTTCTCCTTAGCGGTGGCCATCTTTGGATTTACACCATATGTTTATAGAGCTGCTGTGGCACGCATGAGTTTGAGCCAAGCTAATTTTAGCATGTTGTTATTACAACTAATGAGCATACGATCTCTTTTACGCATGTTGTTTTATATTTACTGTAGAGTGGGGACACTTTTACAAGCATTTTGTAAAGTTAACATCTTGTTCTTGTCATTTTTGCTGAAATAATTTGTAAAGAGACTTTTTGGTTTGTACATTGTGTTCTGTGATAATAACACAACAGGACACATGAACTGAAGGAACACATTTATTCAAATGTCACAACTTTTTTAGGAGCGAAACTGCCCCCCACCACTCACACACAAACAGTGCTCCTGCTCCAACCCGAGACAAAACTGAAGGAGTTCCCCCTTCTAAGACCATGACGCCTCAAAGCAGTCGCGCAGGCCCCAAGATCTCTGACAAGGTGAAGGCGTTTGAGGAGCGTGGCACCAGCATGGCCGGAGAGCGGAGGGGAGACGCCATCCAGAGACGAGGCGCATTCAAGCAGCGCGCCTCTTCACTGGAAGACAAGAGCAGCTATGACCTCAAAGTCCAGGATTACCAGAGCAAGTTCACAGAGGAGCTCCAGAGAATCAAAAAACTGGTGGGCAAACCCAACTTGAAGAAGGCCTACTCCACTGAGCAGTTGGCCCCACAGAGACTGAAGCCGGGCCCTAGAAAACTGGAACCCATCCCACCCCAAGTCATCCGAAAACTGGAGGCCCTGGAGGGGAGGACGCAGAAGAGCAGAGCAGGAGATGGGACTGTTGCCAAGGAGACCACCTCAACCCAGAAGAACCCCACAAGGTTGGTAACAATTTTAAGGCTTTCACTTTGAATTTCAGGGTAATGTGTGGCGCTGGTGGAGTACTATTGCTGGAATACATAGATTAGATTAGAGTCAAATTTATTGTCACAACAAAGTTGATTATGAGTCATTACTAATCACACATGTTTGAGTCATGTAGGATCTCATGTTAGCTATCAAAGTGTGGTCAGCTGCTAACATTAGGTAACATTTTATTTATATTCACATCTCAACAATGCATTAAAAAAGCTTGTTGATCTGCTTTCTGTGTTTTGGATTATGTCCAATTAAAAAGCTGTTGCTGGTGTTGTCCCAATCTCACAGTTCACTGGTTACACTTGACTGTGTAACCAGTGCACTAGCTCTTCACCAGCTGGACCCCAATGTTGAGCACTTGGTTGTGAATAGTGGACACTCAGACAGAGCTAGAGTGTCTTCATTGATCCTGTGCACTGAAGTCGCTTCATGGTGTGGGTAGGCCATGACGGACGACAGAAGCCAGTGATGCTAGAATTGTTTGGAGATCATATCAGACAAAAAGTCATTGGTCCTCATTCATGAAACTTGCGTATGACAAAATCAGGGTGTAAATGAGGCGTACGCAACAAATTGACACTTTTCGGCATTATCAATCTGGACGTGGGCGTACGGTACGCACAAAATATACACCGAGTCAGTAGATGGTGTAAATGTTACACCCATCTCAACGTTCATCACAACACGCCAAAACACGCATGAAATACAAGATTTGGACAACAATGAATATATATTCCCAATCTGGCTAAATTACAAAGTGCGTTTTCATTGAGCATCAATTTTTTCAAATTTGAATTTGCGCATCAGAAAAACTCTAATGGAAACACGCAAACTTCGAATAAATCACAGTTCATGATGAGGACCTTCTTCTGTTTCTTTGTTTTTAAATCTGACTGTATGTGTATTATTTTCATCTGTATGTTTCTTAAATGTGAAGTGCTTTGTGATCCTGGTCTGTGAAAGGCGCTATACAAATACACTTGACTTGCTTACTAACTTACGCAACAGGGATGACCCATCTGTTCTGTAAATCTGTGGCAGGCCCAGCGCCGCGTAATTACGCACGGCTATTTGTTTTGCCTCTTTCACATCTGGCAAAGCAATGTATTTTTTCATTAGTTTTGTGTATAAAGCCGCATAAACACACCGATGGTCTTGCTCATTGTCTCAGCCACTGCCCTGTACTCCGCATGTAACCACTTTATAGAAAGGATGGCAACGCGCTTATCTGTGGGATAGGCTCATGGGCAGTGCGCAGCGTGTGCCACGACAGGTCCCACTCCCACCGCATCACTCCTCAAATGTGGTGCGTGTCATTCAGACGTTTTTAATCCAGAGTTCCTCCATGAAATCACGGACACTTCCCAAAAGCTTCTCATTCACACCCTATCTCAAATGTACAGCGCTTCATTGCATTCCCAAGTAATCGCCGCAGATGCTTCACCCGGGTTAATGATGAGAGCCACCGCTGAGGCCAAGGTATTCATTCATTCATTCATTCACTAACTTCTAAAGTTCAAGAGAGATGAGTGCTGCAGTGGCTCTAGACACTAGGAGAAAAACGTGTATATATAATATAGCGTATATTTATTTTTAAACAAACGTGAATAAACTCAAGTGCATTTCACATGCCTTCCAACTAGTCTTGCTGGCCGACTTCCTTACTGATCTGCGTGAAACAGGCGGTTAGGCGTGACTTTTCATTTTATCATCCGCAGCAGTTGCGTACGCTCGGATCCGGGCGTATCTCACACCTTCATAAATCCCATGTTGGATTTTGCGTATTTGCAATATACACGAAAAATATACACCCTTTTATGCGCAAGTTTCATAAATGAGGGCTATTGTGATTGTATTGTGATCATTACTTATAAAACAAGATTTACAAATGAACCAGTGGTTCACTGATCAACACATCCAGCATCAGAATGGTTCTGTGGGGTATGTATATTTATCCAAGTGCTAAACTGCAGGTGTAAAGTAAAACAGTGTTTATATTCTGTTCTATTGGACATGTCCATCATAAATCAGTCCATCTCCATTCGAGGTGATCACGTTGATACACATGCAAAACCTTGATACATATTCTCCTGTGTTCTCATGTGTTTTGCAATTGTTATTTCAAATGTCACATGTCTCGGAGCACACGAACCTTAGACAGGTTTAGACTACTAGGACTGCTTCTAGACACATTCTCAATGATTTTTTTGACTGTACACCAACTGTTCTTCTGTCATCCATTATGATGTAAAGGGCATTAGTTGTTCACAATGTTTTATTATTGGAATTGTCTTACAAGAATTCAAAACATTGTATTTTACACAGAAGCTCCAGCTCCCCAATTCAAGACCTGACCACGGGGAAGAGGACATCTCCAGTGAGCAACAAGGACCACGCACCCAAGCCACAGATCCTCTCCACTCCCTCCCCCACCACCGTTGCTCCCATTAGCCCAGTGACCAAGCGGCGCAGAGAGGAAGGGAAGCTCTCCATCCCCACCATCCTGGTAGAAGACAAGCCCCTGGAGACAGAGCGTGTGGGGAGGCGAAGGAGGAGCAGGAGAGGTCCAAAGTCTTCGGAGGAAGGTAGGCAAATACTGTCTAGTGTTTTTAAGTATTCTTAAAAGTGATGGCAGATTGGCAAACAAACTCTAGAGATAAACATATGTTGCTGAGACCAACAACATGTAGTTACATTTTATTGAAGCAAAATACTCTCAGATGAAGGTTGCCTCTGTCAAAATGACTTATTTGCATCTCACATTATTGATGTGTCAATCCATCCATTTCCTTCCCTTTAATGCATTTCTGGGTCGAGCGGGTGGCAGCCAATTTACATCCTCCTTTGTCAGTGATGACACAGGCCCTTTCTGAAGTGTGTCATGCTTTCCAAAAAAGTTCTTATAAGCAAAATTATCTTCTGCAGGGGCCTCCTCCGATGACTCCTACCAGTCTGCAGACGAGGAGCCAGTGACAGCGGCTAGTGGAAAAGAGGCAACACTACCTGGCAACCCTCCACCTGCAGGTATAGGACCGATATTACATAGATACCCTGCTATACCAAAGCTGATCCTAGAAATGAGGAGAAATTGTTATAATTACACTTATAGTACGCATAGAAAGCTGTTTGCAATCTTTAAAAGTACAGAAAGATTTTATTATATATAGTTGTATTTCAAGAAAAAAACCATGGGAAACGAACCAATGATTGTTATTGTTACAGAACTTGCAGTGTAGTATTGTAAAATTATTTCAACACATTTGAAAAGTTTGTTTTGGGGAATCGTGTAACATTTTAATTTGAATGCATTGCCACCCGTCCTTTTGCGACACCTCCACTCCTGGTGCATTGTGCTAAATGTGTTTATCCGTGGGAGGAGGTAGAGACTAGAAGACTTCTCTCTCAGTGTTTGGTGAGTAACTGAAGGGAACCGGAGAACAGCTTTCATGGGGCCCGAGAGGCTCCTACTCTGCTGATACTGCGCAGTCAGGCCTGCAAACTGTTTAAATAGAATAATTGAGACCCCAAAGATTTTTTGGGTGGAGGCTCTTTGGAAAATTAAAGGAACTGTTTGTATGTTTTTATTAAATGTACACGGTGTGGACGTACCAGATGTAAACCTTTGTCAAGTATCCAATCAGAATGGGAATTGAGTTTCGGTTTGATCGGTTTTTGCTGGTTTGATCCCCACTGCTTTTTGCTGAAGTGGAAAGTGTGTGTATGAGCTCTAACATCTGCGTTTGAGCTTGTTTCTGTTGGTCTTTTTCAGGAAATAGACATATCCATAAAGAACAAACCCCGTAGCTTGGAGTGCGGGATTAGAGTTATTCTTGGATTAATTTAACTGTTCATATTTCAGTTATTTATTCCTTTAGGGAGTGTACACAATCAACATCTGAACACTTATAGCCAAGGGTAATATGCAAATGTCTGTCCCTAGGAGGGCTTTTAACACAATTGAAAACATTTACTGTTTTTAATTGCTCCCAACCTCGCTCTCTGTGTGGATTGGGAGACAAATGCCCACAATTGTTAACCGCTTTGTGACTCTGGTCTGTGAAAGGCGGTATATAAATAAATCAATTCATTCAACTGTTGCAGTGCCTAAACATTATTTTGTTTGTCAGAATCATCTTTAAAATCATTGGGCTCTTGAGATCTATCCATAAGCGTGATTTTCTGTTGATCCATCTATTGTTTATTGAACATTTTAACAAGAATTTCATTTTACAAGTAACCACAATTTTGTTTTGGCATCCTGCAGCTTCTTATAAGAATTTTGTCAATATTCCTTATCTATGTATTTGAGATTTGAGATAATGTAGCTCCAAGATTGTCCTCTGATCTTTCCGTTTGACGTTCCATTTAAATATCTGATGACAGCATGCTGAAATGAGAGCCGGAGTCCCACTGACAAACGCCACTGCGCTGATGTTGAGTCACTGGGTTTTATCTGGTGCCAGCCTCCTCCACACGACACGGCTTCTAAACTACAAAGGCCTCCAGAGTTACCATGGCAACACGTCCCATCTCTAGGGCTCCCAGCGCACAGATGTCCCACGATGCACAAAGCCCATGCCCCCCGGTCCTTAAGCGTGTAGCGCTTTCAAAACGGGCCATGCTGGATTAGCCATTTTGTAATGGTAAAAAAGTGGAATAGAACATAAATTACTTTTCAGTGTGCGGCCATCGCTTGGAGCCTTTCGGATTTCCCTAAGACAGATCTGGTTTGGTCCCACTGCCCAAGTGCGTGTTTAGATCCTACACTTGTCTAGATTAATTAATTTATAAGTAAATAACTGAGTTGAAGGTGAAAGTTAAATTTTGCCCCAAACATTTTTTTTTGTTCAGTCATAAGTTGGCATAATCACAAAGTCAGACATGTGCAAGCTTCAATTAAAGCAGCAGTAAGCGATTTTTGGGTGTTAACATACGTCTTAAATATTGATATATTCCAATAGCCATCCCTTATATAGAGTGTTTGTACCTAAACACGGATCTCTCAGTCCTTCCAGTCTTCTCCCACCTATATGATAAAAAAACCTCACATCCTATGCGCTTATCCAATGACGAGAGAGCACGCCTTATAAGGGGTTTCTCCCGTGTGTGCACGCGCACTCTTCAAAACAAACATGGCGGAGAAGGAAAAGCCGCCTCCAGCGCTGCTGCAGACTAAATACCATGGATCTATTAAATACAGGCAAAACGCCAGAAACAGAGGAACGACAAAAAGTAGGAGCAACATGGGGACCAGCTGGTGGATTCCTCTCTCCGACTGAACAGGTGAGCATGTTACTCAGTAGTGGCAGTAGTAGTTGTATTATTTATACATATTGTTGCCTGAGACTGTAATGCGGGTTTTCACCAAGTTAGCTAGTTAAAAATCCCCAGCTGTTGTAGAAATACGGCCGCATTTTGTGGCAATAACTGCGCATTACCTTGGCTTAGCTTTGAGAAACAACAACAGACAACACAACATCGAAGCCTTAGCCCAGCCTCAGCCATCCATAAACTCCGGTCAATTATTAGTTCCCCACATGTACAACATTAAATGACCATATCACCAGAGTTCCCCCGTGAAGTGGTGTTAGCATTAGCGTTCGCTGTTAGCATTAGCGTTAGCTGTTAGCATTAGCGTTAGCTGTTAGCATTAGCGTTAGCTGTTAGCATTAGCGTTAGCTGTTAGCATTAGCGTTAGCTGTTAGCATTAGCGTTAGCTGTTAGCATTAGCTGTCTGTAGTTGTGAATATGATGTGGCTGCTACGAACACTTCTGATCTGTATGAATCGTTTGTTTTTGCCAATAAACATAGTTGCTTTTATATGTATATGTGTATATGTGTATATGTGTATATGTATATGTATATGTATATATGTAGGTCTGCATTTCATTCTTCAATGACTAAGTTTTGCAACTTGCACTCTGTATATTAGTTTTATTGTTATAAAAACAATATCTCTTTACCTCAAATCTAACTTCCGTGACCACTACATACATTTTTATTATTATGTATTGAGAATAAGTAAGAAAAGTCTTGCTGACTACTACCAAATAAATTATGAGCATGATATAATATAGACATTGTAATAATTTACATGTCTTCATTGCATTCTTTTCTCTGTATCTTTTCCAGTATGGCCTAAATCAATTGGAATGAGGTCTTCAATGTACAAGAGTTCAACAGCCTCCATAATGCAAGTTAAATAACTATAAAAAAAAAAAACAATGGCATAACGACTAGATACTTTTCTGCTGAGCTCTTCTTTCTCTAGTATTGACTGGGAAGACAAGACTTTGCTTCCAGAATTAGAAGAATGGCCATTGTCATCTCCTGAGGAAGACTTTACACCCCACATTTGTCATGTAGGTTGTTGTGAATGCATATATGGGACGCAGTGATTATGATGATAATGATTTTGTGATGTGTGTGTCGTTCATCCCTACAGTTGTGTTGCTGCCCTGAGGTCCAAAATGAATATCGATCATGTTCCAGGAGTCAGTGTTGACAAAACTGTCGCTGAGTTTCTTCAACAATCAAGAGGAGTGAGATAATCACTCGACTCCCAAAACAGCCGATGTAAGTGTCTTTCTCTCACAATGCACAGTCTCTCACAGTCCAAATAAACATGTTCAAGGATCCTGTGGATCAGGGGCCACTCCTGGTGATCAATAAATACTGATGTTGTTGATGATGAATATATCAAAGTCATATTTGAGTAGATAAAACTGATGTCTCTTCTATTATGTTTCAAAGGAAAATCTCTGCCAGAGGAAGACTCCAGTTCCTTCAACCTGGGCCCCTGAAGCGTGGCTGTGTGTGCGTGTGACTGTGTGACTGTGTGGCTGTGTGTGCGTGTGACTGTGTGTACGTGTGACTGTGTGTACGTGTGACTGTGTGTACGTGTGACTGTGTGTGACTGTGTGTGCTTGTGACTGTATGTGACTGTGTGTGCTTGTGGCTGTGTGTGCTTGTGACTGTGTGTGACTGTGTGTGCTTGTGACTGCTTGTGACTGTGTGTGACTGTGTGTGCTTGTGGCTGTGTGTGCTTGTGACTGTGTGTGACTGTGTGTGCTTGTGACTGCTTGTGACTGTGTGTGACTGTGTGTGCTTGTGACTGTGTGTGACTGTGTGTGCTTGTGACTGCTTGTGGCTGTGTGTGCCTGTGTGTGCGTGTGACTGTGTGTGACTGTGTGTGCTTGTGACTGTGTGTGCTTGTGACTGTGTGTGACTGTGTGTGCTTGTGACTGTGTGTGACTGTGTGTGCTTGTGACTGTGTGTGCGTGGCTGCTTATGAATTATTTTGAGGAAATGTGTTCAAACAAGCTACAACATAAAGATGAACATTTTGTTAGATATCTCTGATAGTGTTCGCTGCAGCAGCGATGGATAAGGACCTGAATAATAACAGTGTTATTCATTTGAGCAAAAAGTGATAACACAAACGTTGCCTTACCATCACTTGTAATTATTTGTCTTAGTAGGGACATTGTGTATATTTTTCCGGCTATAACTTCAAATCTTCTTTTACATAATAAAGTTTCTTAGACTCGTTACAGACTGTATTTGTTTTCCTACTATAAAACAAAGCACATTGAAAGAGGTGAATGTATTTTTTTTTATTTTGAAATAGTACAACTACAAACATATTTCAGAACTGCAGAGTGGACGTGCACCATGGGGGCCACTGAGGACGTGCACCATGGGGGCCACTGAGGACGTGCACCATGGGGGCCGCTGAGGAAAGCACGTTTTCAATGTCTGTTGGCACCTTTCACAGACGCATCAGGGAAAGGATCTGGTCATCAGCTTCTCTGGACAGAGGGCGTTCAGTGCTTCCTGAAAGAACCGTTATGACAAATGACTTTATATATTCTGTTACTTGTAGCTTTTCTTTCAAAGTGGTGAGTTTCCTTACAGTGTAATAGTGTAACGTAATTAGTTATGACAGTACTTTTGCGTTTCGGACAAGCTTTACTGGAATTGTTTTTCAGTCCCACATCTCACTGTACAGCTCTGATACACT